CCTACCACTGAGCCACCTTCCCAGTCCCTCCTTTAGACTCTTATCTTGCCTTGCATGCCTGAGGCCCTGGGTTCGATTCCTCAGCACCACATAAGCAAAAAGAAAAAAGCCAGAAGTGGCGCTGTGGCTCAAGTGGTAGAGCGCTAGCCTTGAGCTGAAGAGCTGAGGGACAGCGCCCAGGCCCAGAGTTCAGGCCCCACGACCGGACCCAAAAAGAAAAAAAATTAAAAGTAGTAGAGCACTAGGCCTTGAGCAAAAAGAGCTTAGGGACAATGCCCAGGCCCTGAGTTCAAGCCCCCCCCCAAACTGACAAACTGACCACAAGAACCCCAAGTGAATATAGATCATGGCTTCCAGCAGCCATGTTCAGAAGCAGCACACTGATGTTCCCTGGATGTTGATGGTTAGCTTGGCTGAGGTGCTCTGACCCTTAGACCTGGGGTCTCAGTTCCAAATGCACTCCTGCTTGTTCTTCTCTAGTTACTTCCTGATAGTGAGAGAGGGATAAAAGAGGTGCTTGCCGTGGGTGAGCATATATGCACTGAGAATGCGCATGCATACACACACACACACACACACACACACACACACACGGGCTGGGTGGCTGCTCTTCCCCTCTGTCCCACATCCCTTCTTCACAGAAGCCCCTGGAGCAGACAGGAGGTGGCTGAACTCCGCTGAGACAGATCTGGAGGCACAAAGACCCCAAGAGCTCTTGAATGATGGCTGGAAAGCTCTGGAAGGCAGGCATCCCCTGTCTTGCAAAGACTTGGGAGACTTGTGGGGACCAGCAGTTGCATTTCCCCTGTCTGGTGATTCAGCCAGGAGGGGAAGGCTGGCTCCGGAGCCCTGTGTTTGGGCCTGGGCATGGGTAGACCTCAGTTGGCATCCCTGCTGCCACCTCCATCCACCACCTCCGCTTCATGCTATCTGGCTGACCTTGGGCACTGCTAGACTCCCCTGGCCCCCTGATTTTCTCCTCCATGGCGGAAGACGTCTTGGGGTTGTGGGAACTGGCAGAGGTGTTAGTGATGGTTTTCCATCAATAACCATCATAACCATCAATAGTGTTGATGGTTATGATGATGGTGTTGATGGTAATAACGATAGTAGTGACGGTCATGATGGTGGAGATGCTGATGATGGTGGAGATCGTGTTAATGATGGTGATGATGGTGGATGTAGAGCTGATGATGGTAATGATGGTAGGGATGGTGATAATGCTGCTGCTGCTGCTGCTGGTGATGATGGTGGAGATGTTGTGGTGACAATGGTGGTGATGATAGTAGTGATGGTGGAGATGATGATGGTGGCGATGGTAGAGATGGTGGTGGTGATGGTGCTGTGGTGATCGCAGAGGGAGGGCCGGGGTAGCAGCCCCTGGGATGTCCAGCTGTCCTCATGCTCAGCCTGTTGCCTGGAGCAGGCAGGAAGAAGCCCAGCTTTTCAGAGAGAAACACGGGTGGGTGGGGTCAGGAGTGTGTGTGTGGGGGGGTTCCTGGCATGACCGGCCTCCGCTCCTGCCCCGTTTCTGACGGTCAGTAGTTCCTGCCGTCCCACCTGGCTGGCCTGTGGGGCGGGGGAGACACCCAGGATTAGGCCTCAGGAGCCTAGCTGGGACATGAGCCTGACGAGCTGAGTCCTCTCCGCTCTGTCTGCTGGCGGCTCGGAGCTGGGACACAGCTGCCATTTGGCCCAGCTGCTGGTCCCCAAGGGCTTTTTTGGTAAAGGGCACCCAGGCGGCGGAGCTGGGCCACAGGCAGGGCTGATGTGGGGCTGGGGGTGTGGGGAGGGGGTCTGGGTGGTGGCCTTGGTGGTAGTGTTTTCCTACAGCAAGGGGGGGGGTTGGGGGGGAGAGGTGTGAGGACGGACAATAGCCATGTGGAGGTTTAAGCAGGAGCGAGAGGCAAAGGACAAGTTTACACAGCATAGAGCCAAGGACAACGATGAGATGCTGCTCAGAGCCCCGGGGGGGGGGAGGGGGGAATGCGGGCCAGGCCGTTCTTCCTTCCTGGGGGCTGCAGGACGGTTTTTCAGCAGTGCTGGGTCAAGGCTGCCACTGGGGTGACACCATGCTGGGTGTCTGCACCTCGTGGCTCATCTGTCCAGCCCAGCCCCTCTCCCCAGCTTTCTCCTGTTGGCCACAGCCTCCCTGTGCTTGGAGTCCTCCTTTGGGGACTTGTAGGAAGCCCTGTTAACGTCCCCAGTGCCATCTCCTGTGCTCCGGGTTCAGCTACACTGGCCTTGTTCATGTTCCTTAAATGCACCGAGCATGAGGCCAGCCTCCTGGCCCTTGCACATGCTCCCCTGAGCGCCTTTCCCCTAGGCTGTCCAAGATGGCTCCTTCCGATTCTTCTTGCTTTTCTCTTTAATCTCTCTTTCTGTAGAGAGGGCAAGGTATTTTCTCTCCCTTCCCACCTTTCTCCCTGCTGGCACTTTTATTCATCTACTCCACAAATCTTCACTGCACACTTAGTATGTTCCAGTCGCCATTCCAGGCATTGGCAAGACACAGCCGGGAATGTTCCAGGCCCCAGTGTCTACTGCTGACAGGCTGAGCAGACAGACACACCAAATCATGGGGCTATAAAACCAGGACTGGTGGGGTGTGTTTGTGTGGCAGTGAGAAGAGCTATGGGAAAGCAGGGTGAGAAGAATAGTCAATGGTTCTCTCTTTCCTCTTGGCTACAGTGAGGGCTGAGGGCGGGCAGGTGCCACGCTCACCAACCGAGCTCCCGTGCTGCCCACAGTGGGGACAAATGAATGAATCAGCGAGGTCTGAAGAACGGGCCCGGGGAGGTGACAGCCGAAGCAGAGGCGTGGCCCAACCAGCGGCTGCTCCAGGCCTCAGGAGGGCTGGGGCGGTGTGCCTGGCACAGGGAGTCGTGGGGTCTGAGCTTGGCACGGCACGGAGAATACCTGGAACTGCCCGGGTGTCCGACACGTGGCCATCCAAGATTCCTAGAGCTTATGTAAGGCCCGTGGCTGGGTTTCTGGAACCAAGAGCAAAAGCCCTGAGCTCAGGAGAAAACTGGGCCTCTCTGATCAGCCAGGCAGAGTGGCAGGAAATGCCAACTCCCGCCCGCTGCCCCTGGGAGCCAGAGAAATGTCCAGAAGCATCAGCTCAAGGTAGATCAGATGATAACCCTATGGTCACCGGCAGTAGCTGGGTAGGTGCCAGGGAGGCAGGCCTTGCTGCTCAGCCCCACTGCCCAGCCTGGCCCTGTTGGGGGCGCTGGACCAGGAGATGCATCTTCAGGGGTGGGTGGCCCCTAGAGGGAGGCGCCCTGGCCAGGCCTCCATGGTAACTGGTGCACCAGGTGGACCTGGATTCCTGGAGCTGGGCATATTGCCTCTCATCACCTCCTGGCTCTGCACTTGACCCAGGAAGTAGCCTTGGCACCCTAATCCTTTCTCCTGGCCTCAGTTTCCCCATCTGGAAGATGATGGGGGAGGCCAGGAGTGGAGATGCCCCTGGGCTGGCACCAGAGCCAGCGGTGTGGTTTGCAAGGCCAGGCCAGGAAGTGAGCCTGGCCGCTGGCCAAGCGTGAATGGTTTTGAGTTGGTCCAGAGGAGAAATCCCAGCAGTGCCCAGGCCACAGATGGCATGGAAGCGGCCCCCACCGTGTCCCAGCTCCGCCGGTACCTGGCTGTGAGGCGGGCCTGGGCCCCTGGTCTCCCTCTGCAGAGCCAAGAGGCAGCCTGACTTCCCACTGCTGTGTGTGTGCCGTAACCCTAGGCCAAGGGCTCAAGGGCTCACTGCAGGTCTGAGGTGTCTCCATGAGGTCCCCTGGTGTCTGAGTCCACAGCACCCCAACTTCCTGTAGCATGTTACCCTAGCAATCACAATGTGAACAATAGCATCCTTTTTTCTCCTCTTTTGTTTATTCTGTGTGTGTGTGTGTGTGTGTGTGTGTGTGTGTTGGCACTGGATATTTTTTTTTTTTTGCCTCAGGGCCTGGGCACTGTCCCTGAGTTTCTTTTGCTCAAAGCTAGCACTCTACCACTTGAACCATGGCTCCACTTCTGGCTTTTTCTGTGTATGTAGAACTGAGGAATCGAAGAACTCAGGGCTTCGTGCATGCTAGGTGAACACTCTCCCACTGAGCCATGTTCCTAGCCCCTGGCATTGGGTCTTGAGCGCAGGGATAATGTGCTCTCTTCTGCATTTTTTTTTTTTTTTTTGCTCAAGGCTGATGCTCTACCACTTGAGTCACAACTCCACTTCCAGCTTTTTGCTGGAGATGAGTCTCTTGGATTTGTCCGCCCAGGCTGGCTTTGAATCATGATCTTCAGATTTCAGCCTCCTGAACAGCTAGGATTACAGGTGTGAGCCACTGTGCCCAGCTTAGTTTTTTCTTTTCTTTTTCAGTCAGTACCAAGGTTTGAACTTGGCCTTGTGCTTGCTTGGCTCGCTGGCTCACTTGGCTTGCTTATTTGCTTGTTTGGTGCTCTGCCTCCGAAGTCATGCCTCCAGCCTGGCTTTTTTGCTATTTCATTGGAGATGGAGTCTCGAGGACTTTTCTGCCTAGGCTGGCTTTCAACTGTAATCCTCTGGATCTTGGCCTCTTGAATAGCTAGGATGATAAGTATAGCTACTGGGGTCAAGCCTTTATTTTTTATTTTTACAACACTGGGGCTAGAACCCAGAGCCTTTTGCATGCTAAAGGCACACTCTCTACCAATGAACTAGAACCCTAACCAAAACTCTGGCCCTGGAACTGTTTTGGGGGATGTGGTTCAGGAAACCCCAAGTTTATAGCGTTGGCCAGGTTTGCCCCTGGTTTACTACAAGCTGGGAAGCGATTCCCCACTTGCCTGATGCAGCGCAGGCCTCTGCTCCTCTGCAGGCCCCATGGCCGGGGAGGTGCAGGGTGGGGGTGGGGGTTTACTGGCTGAGCCCTGTCTCTGGGAGAGGGGGAGGCCGGCTGGGGAGGGGGGGCCAGGGGTGCCTCTACATGTCCCCCTCTGCTCCTCAGGGCCCCCTGCTCCGCACTGACATGGCTGACAGCAGCTCACCACCCTCGTCCTCAGCCGCCCAGGCCCCCGAGCCGGGGATCACAGAGCAGCCGGGGCCTCGGAGTCCCCCTCCGTCCCCCCCAGGCCCGGAGGAGCCCCTGGATGGAGCTGATCCTGATGTCCCGCACCCAGACCTGGCTCCTGTCGCCTTCTTCTGTCTGCGCCAGACCACCAGCCCCCGGAACTGGTGCATCAAGATGGTGTGTAACCCATATCCTTCGGACTGGGCATGCCCGAGCCCTGCCCAGTGGCTGTGGGTGGGTGAGGGGGTGGGGAAGGGCAGCCCGCCTAGCACACGGTCATCTGGATTGGGGGCCTGCGGCTTTGGGGAGGCTGCTGAGTGGATGCCGGTGTTGAGTCTGGAGAGCTGGAGGGGTAGGCCTGGGGTCTTGCTTATACGAAGGTTCTGGAAGTTTCTGATGACCATGGCAAGGTGCAGGGAGGGCGTCAATCCTGTGGTTTGTTGACTTGGAATATCCTTGGTGTGACCTCAGCTCTGTGGAGTGGATTTATTTGCTAGGCTGGCTTTGAACCACAATTCTCAGATCTCAGCCTCTTGGGTAGCTCGGATCGCAGACATGAACTGCCAGGGCTTGGCACTCCCTTTTTATTTTTATTTTTGAATTAAATCTCGTTTAATGACTGCCTTTGGGTATCTGAAATTATTTATTTCTTTGGTCTGATGAACTTTAACTTTAAAAAGAAAATTCCTTATTTCTTGTAGTTCTGAGGGGCTGGCAGTTCAAGACCGGGGGGCTGGCACTGGGCACGGGTTGGGGGGAGGTTGTTTTGTGTCACATCATCCTGTGACAGCAGGCGGCAGGGCCAGAGAGGCCAGGGCGGGCACGGAGGGCAGAACTTGCTGTGCTGACATTCCGCTCGTAAAATCACAGAAGAGCTCTCGAGTGGATGACATTAATCTGTTCAGGAGGGCAGAGACCTCGTGGCCAAGCCAACTCTTACAGGTCCCGCTCTCAACACTCTTGCATTGAGAACGGTTTCTGCTTGGGAGCTTTGGGAGACATACTCACCATGGTTCGTAGCTCCCCACTGCCCTGGAGGTGCAGAGCCCAGTCCTAACGTGGCCCATCCCAGCCTCATTTTCTAGCATGCTGCTTCTCTGGGTGTTCCTGGACCCAAGATCTTCTCACGGGTGCTTTCCTCTGTCTGAAGTGCTTTCCCCTTCCCTCTTCACCTGGCCAAATGCTTTGCTGATTTGGTTTGAACTCAGGACCTGGTTGTTGTCTCTGAGACTTTTTCTTGTTTGCACAAAGCTAGTGCTCAACCCCTTGAGCCATAGCTCCACTCTGGCTTTCTGGTGGTTCATTGGAGATAAGAGTCTTTCAAACTTTCCTGCCCAGGCTGACTTCAAACTACGATCCTCAGATCTCAGCCTCCTGAGCAGCTAGGATTACAGGTGTGCGCACTTGGTGCCCGGCTTTTTTGCTGCATTTTTTAAATCACAGCTCCACTGTGATTCCTCTTGGACTCTCCTCTTGTGACATCTAGTCATGGGATTTAGTTTACCACTTACTCCTTCTGGGGTCTCATGACCAGGGCAGGGGTAAGCCTGTCTTGTTCTCTGCTTCCCCACTGGGACATGGCTCCTTTCGTGAGTTTACTGGGCGCCTGTGGGAATGTCGAGGCTGAGTCTCACTGATGAATGGGGTTGCTGGGTGGAAGGGTAAGGGGAGGAGGATGCTCTGGGCACAGGCCTGAGAAGAGAGGAGCTGGAGGTGTGGCTGGTGAGAGGGCAGCGAGAATCCTGGCAAGGGGTGATTCCTGAGGCTGCCCGAGCTGCAGAGTATAAAGCAGGTCACACGGGAACCAGGGCTGAGGCGCGGGGCTGGGTGGTAGGGGGCTCTTCACAAAAGCGCATGCTGGCAGCCGGGCACCGGTGGCTCACACTTGTAATCCTAACTACTCAGGAGGCTGAGATCTGAGGATCACGGTTCAAAGCCAGCCGAGCTAGGAAAGTCTGGGAGACTCTATCTCCAATTAATTACCAAAAACCTGGAAGTGGCGCTGTGGTTCAAAGTGGTTGAGTGCTAGCCTTGAGCAAAAGAACTCAGGGACAGTGCCCAGGCCCTGAGTTCAAGCCCCATGACTGACCCCTCTCCCCACCTAAAAAAAAAAGTGGATGCTGGCTCTGCCACGTGGTGTGTGGGACAATGTGTACTGCACCCAGAGCAGTCTGGGTACAGGTGGCCTTGACCTTGGGAGCCTGGCTTGGATGGTCTATGGCCAGCATAGAGCTGGACCCCACCTAGGGCGTTGGTTCCCGTGATGTCTGCTGTGTGGCCATGGGCTGAGCCCCAGCTCATCCCCCGTCCCTGCGTGGGGTCAACGATGGAGCTGGCTTAGGATGAGGGTGAGGGAGGCTTCAGGAAGTGCCCTCCTCTTATTTAAGACAGCCCTGGTTTGACGGTGGGGATGAAGGAAGTCTGGCCTTCCTCCTCCCTTTAGAAGGACTCTCAGCCCTGGCTGCTGGGGAGAGGGGAATCCTGCAGCCCAGCGGGCCCAGGCTGGGCGGGCTTGGAGGTAGCTCAGGTGTTAGTGAGAATGTCAGGGAAGAGCTGTAAGAATCCAAAAGCAGGGCACCTTCAAAGTTGCCAGGCTGTGGGACACGAAGACTCGCTGGCCCGAAACATCTGTGACTGAGTCTAAGGGTTAAAACGTAAGGCTGGGTGATATTAAAATTCGAAGTGACTCTGATCCAAAGAGAAAATTTCTGTGTTCCAAAGACTGTAAGCCTAGAATTCGGCGGCTGCACAGCTGTGTGTCTGGAGTCCCGGGGCTGTAGTCCTGTGCCCGGTGACCCCGGGACGGTGGTTAAGGCTCTGCTGGCTGAATCGGGGCGGGAGGGGGCTAGCTCACAGGGAGCTGAGGGACCTTGGGGCCCACAAAGGACCCTGCGTAGAACAGAGGGGAGCATCAAGGGCTTGGAGGTGATCAGTGGAAACTCAGCTTCCATTAGATTCCTGGAGTTCTTTCCTGGACAGAAGCCGTCCTTCCCCCATACTTAGCGAAGGGCACTGAGGTCGAGGGCTGACCTGCGATGTGTGTGTGCCTGCCTGACGCTCTGCATGGAGGGCCTTGGGGACCGTGTGTGGTCCTGTGACCCTCAGTGGCGGTGTGGCTGTGCTGCCTGTTCTCTGCGGGATGTCTCACCGACCTGCAGCTGCCTGGCTTGGGCAGTGACTATTATACTGGACCTTGTAAGCACCGCTTCTTAGCGAATGCCCTGCCACCTCCCGACTGGGCTATAGCATGGGGGGAGGTCAGGGATGAGCTACTTCCAGGCCCCCTGGGGCAGAGTCTTCCAGGATAGCCTGCTGAGGACCCTGACCCTGGCCAGCTGCCCTTTGAAGTTGCTGCTCCTGACTCAGCTCCTTGCTCACCCCAGAGAAAGGCCCTGAGTCACCGCCTGAGTCACGGACATGCAGGCCCCTGGGTGGGAATAGCCGGAGATGGATGGTGTGGGGTGACTCGCAGGGAGGTGGTGTGTGGCCACCAGAGTCAGACACACCTGGAGGCTGGTTCTGCCTGTTCTTTCTGTATAGTGATAGCCGGGTGATCTCCAGCTCCCTACCATCCCTCCAGCAGATGGGGTGACAGCATCCACCTCTCAGGCCTCACAGAAGGCCTGAGCGGCTCCTAAGGCAGAGTAGTGGTAAGATTTGTAGTAAAGTGTCAGCACATGGTTGTCACCATTAGGGGGGCCTGAGGCTGAGCCAGGCTCTCATGCACTGCTGCATTTACACCCTCCTTGTGGTAGATTCAATAAGACATTGGTGGCAGGTCTTTAGAGGGAACCTCACACCTTCGGAAGACATGGTTCCCAAGGAAAATCAGATCCAGTGTCTGTTGTTTGGGTGAATTGGTGTGACCACACCGCCCCCCCTTCCCCCACCACTGTGGCCAAGCCCTGGCCAATGCAGACATTGCTAATCAATCACAGCATCCTCCAGCTGGGCGGCCCTGGCAGCCACGACTAATCTATCCGCTAGAAATCTACTTTCACCCTAGGTTAGACTTTTAGACCTTTCCTTGGAGTGGCACATGTATACTTTGATTTCACCTCCTGAGCCTCAGCTGTTCTTATCTCTGTAATGGGGTCATCACAAATATTTAGAGTGGGCTCCTGTAAGGTTCCCAGTGGTTCTATATAGCACAGAAAAGGTGCTTACTGGTCAGAGGGCATTCACTGCCCACAATGTCACCCATAATCCCCTTAGCCATCCTCAGAGATAGGTGCCCCATAGCCCCATTTCCTAGATGACAAAAGAGGCTCAGAGTAGTTACTTTTTAGCCTGGTTGCACAGCCAGGCTGCAGCAGAGATGCCATCTGCAGACCCCAGAGTAACCCCCATCCACTCCCAGGGCAGGGAGGCTTGCTTGGCAGCTCCAGACCGTGGGGCTGGTGAGGTGAGGTTCTCCAGGCTCTCAGCATACCTGCTCAGAGTCTCCTTGCTGGCTCCCTGGCTCTCTTACCCCTCTCCCCTTGAGGAGTCCTCCCCTCCCAGCATGCTCCTGGGTGGGGCCTGGCGTGGACAGCCAGTGCTCAGCCTGACAGCGTTTCTGCCTCAGTGCGGGCCAGCCGTGCGTGGCGGGAGTCAGTGGCTTCGAAGTCAGGGAAGGTCTTGTTCCGGATGAGCCGCGGGGGGGGGGGGGGGGGGGGGGGGGGGGGGGGAGGAGCAGGAACTGCAAGAGCCTGCTGACCTTGATCAAGTCACCTTCCTCCACACAGAGCAGGACTGGGGGTGTGGAATGGATGCTGGGTCCCCACTTCTCGGCTCCCTCTCTGTGGCGAGCGCTCCTGCCCCTGTGGCAGTCACTGGCCAGGCTCTATCTGGGAAATGGGGAGCAAGGTGACCCCGGCTAGGAGCATCAGGGTCCCTTGGGAGCTCGTGGGCCAGCACGGAGCAAACAGACCCCCGCATGCCCCGGGGTTCCGTCCGTTCAGAACCTCCCGCTGCAGATCCAGGCTCCGCGGGCCGTGCTGGAGGTCCTGGCTGTCACGCATTCCTCCTCCCAACTCCCCTCCGCCCCTCCCTGCAGTCTCTTTCTGTCTGTGGGACATTGGCAGCTTCTAGACCTCACCCCTCCTGCCCTGGCATCACCCTCCCTCCCCTCCCCTGCACACGGAGAGAGCATGGGGCTAGCAGGCCAACGTTGTGTGACCTTGGTAGTACCCCTCTCCTGACTGTG